CTGCCATTTTCCAAAACTTTCTACGTTGAGTAATTCTGTAGATCGCGCGGCCCACATTTTGCAAAAAAAAAGCGACTAAACAAGAAAAAAACTAAAGAGCAATTGCGTTGCACACAAGTTACGATGTCGATCGACTCTGTCTGCAAATTTCCACTGCATCACTTTCACTGTGATTTTCTATATCAATCAAATATACTTTTTAAACAAAAAGAAAGAATGAAAGAGAGAAAATCAATTTTATTCTTCTGAAAAACAAATGGCGCCGGACAACTGATGCTAACCCTATAAAAAAAGATTAATATGGCAGGGCCTGCTAACAAGCCTGTCATTCAATTCCAGGCAAAAGTCCCACGAGCATCAGCAGACGCTGCCATATTCATCCTTTTTCATAGGGAATGAACTGTGAAAATTTTCTAAGTCCAGTTTGGATATTTTTTTTTGGAAAGTTTTGGATATTTTCTATGTAGCGTACTTTTCTAGATCAAATGACTAAACAAGAAAAAAAACTATATTGGAATTGTGCTGCGCACAAGTTGCGATGTCGACAGGTTCTGTTTCTGACTCAACCTACAGCTCCTATCAGTAGGCTCTGAGCATTGCATTTTTGCTTTGATTTACTCTTTGAACTACTTATAAGACAAAAGACAACGAACGAAATTTGAAAAACAGAGACGCTGACTAAATGGTGCCAGACAAAAAATAATAATAATAATCTAACTCCAACAGCCATTTTTTGCCCACTTATGAGCATATACCGCCGAGTTTGGATGAGTAAAAAAGAACGTGCAATGGTCAGTTTTCGTAGAACACTGTCCCTTTTTCAAAACTTCTCTACGATGAGTAGTTTGCTGGATCATGGCGTTTTCATAAAAAAAGGTCGTAAAGAAAAACCAAAATTCTCAGTATAAATGCCAAATGTCTGACATAAGAAGCAAACATTTTAGGCGCTGTTCATTTTTTAGACCCATATATGTAGATCAATGAAATAAGAAGCTAAAATCATAATAAACGCCAAAGATGGTATTTGTGTTTAAGTTTTGATATTAGTCCAGCAAAAAGGACATTTTTCATTGCGTCTATAGAATCTCAAAATATTGGTTGGGGTCGTCAGAGAGAGAGTGATTATTAATAGAAAAAACAAGACGGGCGACTACGCAAAATTGAAAAGACGGTAAAGTCTGTCTCAACGATGACATTCAGCAGACTGTCTTGAGTGGTTTGAGAAAACAAAAACTACATTTCTATAGAGATTAAACCATGCTGATTCTGATGCCCATATTGCGTTTGAATTTAAATTTGATCTGATTGATAAAAATGCATTTCAATACGACTGATTTTCATGTTTTCATCATTATTACTAAATTATTGTGCACGATGAAGAGAAATAGAGCGAAAATGAATAAATAAGCCTTTTGTTTTTTCTATATTCAATAAAAAACGATTGCAAATTAGATTTTTCTCAAATGTTTTTTATCTAATTATTGTGACAGTGAGGAGAAAAAAAATACATGTTGAGTTTTCCTTTTATCTATGTTAATGTCGTAATATGGAAGCAAGAGTAACGTAGAGAGTCAGAAATGCAACGGAATCTGTTTTTTACTGTCTTTGTAGCCTTCAGAGTACCAAATCTTAATTAGAAAGTAGGCATAGTGTTATAGCGTTTGCGGACTAGTATTCGTAGTAGTGAAGCGAAGATACTGTAAAGTCACCAGAAGAAAGATGTTTTGGGATTTCGAAACGTTTATATCGAAGCCAACTTCTTCCAGTCAAGGGTTCAGTGAATCGAAGATAAACGTTACGTGTCTTCTTTGAGTAAAATTACTTTCAGTTCAAAGACATGAATTTGTACGAAAATCACTCGAAATCCAGGAAAGTCATTGTGAAAACCGGACAGGTTTGTGTATGTGCATTCACCATGGATACGCTAGCCATAGGCGAACAGTATGTCATAGTTTTGCCTCAGATTTGAGAGAAGAAAACAGGAGTGATTCATTATTCTGAAAGAATTCATCAACATAAAAATTTGTTAGCGTAAAAAATTATTTTTTCTATTAAACGTTATCGATAATATTTCAATTGAAACCTAATTGGATCAACAAGACTCTCTCGTTCAATCAAGAAAATAAGAACTGTTAATTCACTCACCCTGCAGTCATTGATAGAGCGAGAGTGATTTAGATGAACACTTCATACGAAAAAAATGAAATTTTTCGCTTTACTCACTCATGTTTAACAGATAAAAGTCGTTTGTAAGAGAATTGTTGATCGCCTTATAGAATATCAGATTCTGGGATATTACAAGATTCTAGAATATTACATTACTACATAAACTTAAAATCTTCCAAGGAAGTAATGGACCATTTTTGGATAGATTAAAACATATAGCGTACTAGTTCTAGATGCTCTTCGACAGTATTTTTTATTTGTTTGATCACTGTAAAAAAAAGTGTGCCGGCTGCACATCACTCTGCATTTATTCGCACACTTTCTGGTACACTTTTTTTTGAGTAGGATTCTCTGAAAGCTACGGTAGAAATTTCGTTGCTGATATGAATAATACTACAGGTGCTTGTTAATAGTAATATACATACTCTGATCTTTGTTTAAGGAAAGTTTGCTAATGCAAACTCTGAATAAAAGTTACAAAAACTATTTATTGCTTTCCGATGTCACTAATTGCCGGTTAATAGTAAAATTTGATGAAGATGGCGCCTTTCGCGTATAATCGAGATAACTAGTAATTCTGCCCACTGGAGTAAAATGTCTTATAAAATTAGAAGTGAATGAGACATTTATTATTGACTATTTATTGGTAATTCTCGAATAAGGTGCAAAACCGTATAACCTGTTATCAACTTTTTTCTGTTCTTCAAAAGTGTTTAGTTACAAGAGGAGAACATAAAGGTATCTTCAATTTTTTGTTATCGGAAGGCGTTGTACTGATTATTATCATTGTAAATAGATTTCTCTGAGCCTGTTAGATACTGATTTTTGCTACACTCCTTTTTTTAATCTGCTTTTTTCACATACAATTTACACTAAACCTGTTTTGTAAATTACATTTTGATCTACGACATTGATATTATTCGATCCTTGAATATACCTCGAGATTTTATACCATATATGTTTGAAAAGCGACATTTTTTAGGCCTCTCGAACATGCAAATTCTTCTCTATAGCTCTGAGCAGTTGTATCAAACAGAATTCATCATTTCCAATATTTCCACCATATACGCGGCACATTCAACCCTCAGCGCACACTAAACGATTCACAATTTTTCTGCTTAGATTTGAATCGTTTTTTGTTACTAGAGACTGAAATAACACAAATTCTTGAGAATGATCTACACATTTGATATTTGCGTTTGTTGAGCTATTTAATCTCATTAGGCAGCGATCTATTCTTGAAATCGATGTTGTGTAGATTACTCATTGCTACTGACTACATGCCGTCAGTTTAACGGAATAGTTGATATGTGCTCAATGAATGTATCTATTCATCTATATAGTACATGTGTAAAAGAGCGAAATATGTATAATTCTATGTTTTATGTCATTTGTAAATAAACATGTTTGATTTGTCTACTGATTTATTAAGATAAATTCTGCACATAGTTGTGAGAAGGAAATCATTTGGTTTGACGCACAATAACAACGACACTTCAAATTAGAATCTGTTTTGCTATTTTTGTCTCATCTTATTGCACAGTAAATATCATTGAAATTTAGCCAGTTACATGATCTTAACCCATATACATTATAACTATAGTTTATATCTGTAAAAAGAAAGTCAGTGTGTCGAATTTATTGTTGTTGACGTGTTATGATAGAATGAGCCGATATACAATTATGTTCTGTACACTAGAGGCCTAGACTTACGACAGATATGATATATCTATCAATAATCTAAATAAATTACAGGACTTATTCACATATATAAGTGATATGCTTTAAAGATATACATACACAATAATAACAACTATTGTATTTTTAACTTTGTACAAGTTCGTTTTAAACTATTTCAAATATGGACATAGAAGGAGATGTCCCATCAGGAAAGCTTTTATTTGTTTTCAAGAAGTCAGAACAATTTATAATTTCAAATATTTTTAAATAGAAATATATTATAAAATTTTGACTCAAAATACTATGTCCTACCTTTAATCAGTGTACAAGATATCTTGAAATCAATAAAATTTTCAATATAAGATGAAATATAGACCGGAGTTCTTCTTAATCAATTTTCAACATTAAGATGTTTGTCATAAACTAAACTATATGGGTAGAACGACGAACAGCTCGGTTTAATTTTTTTTTCCTCATTTTATCATTTGTATACAACACAATTTTCTTCATTGCAAATCTAATGTAATAGAGAAGAAGAGATGAGAAAAATCTGATTTTGACATTGTATATATATATATATATATATATACATGGGACATTTTTGTGCAAGCAAGATCAAAATACCAATAAATAATATTTTTCTATTCTTACACACTTGATTAGTAAGTGATTTAAAGAATGAAAGAAAAAAATTGGATTTTTTTACGCATAACAGAAAATGATAACAATAGTCGAGTCACCATTTTTCTCTTTCTCTCTTTCTTTTTTCTTTCCCTACAAGGATCATTGCACCGCAGATTTTCTCCCCTAAACATTTACTGCATAAATACATTTTCTTGTAGATTTCTTTTACTATGTATATATTTACAATTATCATTGAGACTCTTATTTCGATGCTTGCACCATATTTGCGGCGGCGACAAAAAGAAACATCATCCACTACTATACTATTCTGGTACAATGAGAGCAAGAGAACTATAAGAGATATTTATATCACATCGGCATTTCTTTTTTTTCTTCAAAAAACGAAAGAAATATCTATGGATGTGTATGATCGATGAACAATAAACAGAGAATATAAGTATAATTCTATAGAAGAAGAAAAAAAACGAGAAGAAGGAAAATCTATAGGATTTTCCTTTTTTTCGTACTCTATGGGATGTGACAATGATGCAACAATGGATAGGAACGTGGTTGAGAAAGAAATTTTTCTATATTATCATCATCGGCTATATAATGAGACAATAAATGATATGTATATACACACTAGATTAAAAACTCATTATTAGTGTAATTTTGGTCACGTTATAATTAATGGACTTGTTGATAGTTTCAACGGCAAGGTAAGATAATGATAGTGCACATAATTGATTTTAAATCTAACTATTAAATTATTCATTATTAGAGATTATGTTTAACGATAAATTAATTTCATCTTTATCATTTAGACCATTATGTCGAATATAACATCAATATTAACGGATTTAAAATCAGCAACAATTGCACGTATTTCCACTGATGTTAGTCCAATTGAAATTTATATGCTATATATCATTGGTGGTTTTGGTGTATTAACAAACTTGTTAACAATACTTAGTCTATTAATTATAAGAACATTCCGCACGAAACACAGTTGTTTTTTATTTCATCATTGCCTCATTGGCTTAACAGAATCCATATTATGTATACCATTTGCAATGTCCTATTTTATGAATAAAAAAAATAGTTTAGAAAAAATGATTATTCCTTGTGATTCATTGGGACATACGCATCTGGCATGTGTAACAGCACAAGTATTAAATATTGTCGCAATGGTGGCATTGGAAGCATACAGATTTGAAGACTTGGTACATCAGGAGTCAGCAACACCATTAGCAACAACCACAGTATCTGCAAAAACACGGCAAGCAGAACATCAACTGTATGAAACACGTAATCATCATCATCAACAACGAAAATCAAGCGTATTCAAATCAACAATATCGTGTAGTTGTCTGATATTTGGCATTGTTATTATATGGTGTTCATCTATCATCTTGCATTTAGGTAAACAACATTTAGATAGATTCAGCCTTTTATCAAAGAGAAACAGGCAGCCTATATTATTACGAAGAATTTCTATTGAAAAATCATGCAACTGAGATCTGTGCTAAACGCTTTCAAGAAGAAAGAGTATATTTTAGGGCTTCGTTCGTGTTTTAATGATTAGTTACTAGAATTCCACTACATCGCTTGTAAAGCTAAATTTTTTTAATTCAATATAGACACCGACCAAAAACTGACACTTACGAAAGTTTTAATTTTTCCTCTTAAAAAGATGGTCGTTTAACGATATATCAATGAAGAAATAAAAACTAAACTTAAAATAAAATGGAAATAAATGAAAATGCTCATTCTTATTGTGGAATGAAGTCATTAGCTGAGTTCATTGTTATGAGCAGAGGAAGTATGATGCAAGTTTTCTAACGTCAAATTTGTTTGCAATCTACAGTCTAACGTTCCTTTTTTAGGTATAACATGGATTGGTTCAGAAGCAAAAATCTACTATCATTCAGTTCATTATTATTGTAGTTTTATCATAACAGATGTACGTGGTTATGTATTGTATTTAATGTGGATTATAATTACATTATGTTCACTCATCATAACCATTCGTTATATTCGTAAAGTATACATTGAAGTTAAACAAAAACGGAAACATGATGCACCGTTACTTTCGTTATCGATTATCAAAGAAGGTATTGATATTGCAAATAATGCATTAGTTCTTCAACAAATATTACAACGGATAACTGCGTACAATTTCATCATAGCACTATTCATAATATCTTGGTTTCCATTATTCATTGTGACATTATGTAATACAAAGTAAGCCATAATAGATAATATACAACTAACATGTATCATTGAATTTTATATCAATTTTAGGTTTGGAATACCACAATTATTACGCATTTTTCTACTGATAGCCTGGTCAAATTCTTCTGTGAGCCCACTATGTTATACGTTATTGATACCAAAATTTGGTGACCAATGTTTACCATGTATTAAAGGCGACAATAGAAATCAATATGATACAATGAAATCTTATTATAATCGTGTAGGCGATCGATTTCATGACTTAGGCCTGTGGGAAGAACATCAACGAGAAAAACAGCAACAAAAACAATTAAAACCTCAGCGTCATCGACTGTACCGTTCGAAAAAACGAAATGTAACGACAACATCAGGCGAAGAAGAGTGTGAAATGATAGAATTGAACAGACAGCCAGAAAAAATATCTACCAAGAAAAAACAGCAACAATATTCAAATCGTTCTAGTGATAAATTGATGATCAATAATTATCGACGACCCTATATACAGCGTAAATTTTTGAATAAATTACCGACAATTGCTTCCTCGTCGACGCCGTCTTCGTCACCCACTTTTAAACGATCTATACTCTCGGATTCAAGTCGTACAACGACTCATCAACCGCAGTCATCATCATCACAACAAGCACAAATATCAGGAAGTTCTTCTGCGTCATCGAGTTCATCGGTTTCTAGTCTCACAGATGTGACATCTCAGAAACATCATAATACTAAAGCTGAATCGATTCGTTACGATCAACCAAGACGCATTCATTTTGAGCAACAAGACTATTCACGTCAAAATCAGCAACCACACCGTAAAAAACGTCTGATACATTTCGAAGAACAGCAACAAGAACAACAGTTGAGTAATGGCCTGTTGATTACAATTAGTCAACGATAGGAGTAGTTTTTAATTTGTTTGTTTAGGCAATATTTGTTATGTTCTGTATAACATATCGTCTCAACCTTACCCTAGGAAAACAGTTGTCTCTTTTTACATACAGTAACTTGATTAAAGTAATTTGGCGTAGTAGATGAAAAGTCAAAAACTATATACTTTATCCTTCGATACTTCATTTTTCTTATGTTTATACAACTAAAGGTCTTCATACACGAACTGTGACTGAGAAACATTGCCTGAGGTGAATTATGCTAGTCATGGAAAGTCTATCTGACGTTCAAATTAGATTTTTGTTTTATGTACTATCAAATATAGACGATCGTATGGCAATATCTTCTAATGTTTTTATTCCTGCAGGTTCGTATGTTGGATATTATTGCAATTTGGTATACTCTTTTGTTTTTGATAATGACATTCATTTTTCTAATAAAATATAGCCTACTGGCTTAGTTTTTTCTCTCCATTTTCTGTGTGATGTGTGCGTGCGTATACATTTGTTGTATATTTTTGTTTTCTTGGGTGTTTTTTTACTATACTATGTTTTCAGTGCGTGTGCGGAATGCCTGTTTTTTCACTCAATCTGTCTCATAATAAACAAATCACTTATGCAAACGATGGAGGAGTGAGTATACATTACAAATTGAGCGAAATATAGGATTTTCGAAGAAAAGAATTCAAATTTTCTTGTGTGAATAAGTCTGATATAAATATGAAATACCATAGTTTCGTTTTTCCCAAAAATGTTTCGTTCTCGCAGGACTGACGCGACCAGGGTCGTTATGGAAAAGAAATCCTGTGGGATCCTACGGAACGAGACGAAATTTTCAAAGTATCGATGAGACGGGATGGAATGGAGTGAAAATTTTTTCCATAAATCGAAAGTTTCGTCTCACCATGGCTACTAGCACACTTCAAACATGGAAAAGATCTCTTCTGTCGCAGGTGGTGCGAATGTTTTCTCAATCATGGGCACACATTGTACGCTCCTGGCTCGCGCCAGTCTTGCGTTTTTGATGTACAAATTTTGCATTGATGATTACAAGAATATGTTTACGCTCTTGGCAATGATGAAAAGGCGTTTATTCTATAATAAACCTGTTTAAATCGAAATTGAGAATACGACCTACGAAACTGACCACATATATTTCAAAAAACAGTTCATATGCTCAGTGATGTAGTCATGGATTTTTGAAAAGTTATCAACGAATCTTTTATAATATTGATATTTTCTCGCAAGTCAATTCATTCCAGCGGATGAAAAAATATGATTAAATTTGATAGAAAAGATTATGTCCTATAAGACGATATTTCAAATCTTTTTAATCATACTGGTTTCTAGAGCTATTTGCTTTTCTGCTGAATACAAGAATTTTTCAAGGATGTTGCTGCCATTTTATGGGTGGATTTCATTTTTAATTAAAATAAACCCACATGTATACATGTTCTCCACGTGAAACGAATCGAATAAAGTATACTTTTGCAGTCCAAGAAGATCTAACAAAATTTTTACTTGAAATTTCCACGTTTCCATATATGATCCAAATTAATAATGTTCTTGCATAACTCGAATTTTCTTCTTTGTATAAGAGTTCCGACTCAGAGTATTCACATACATTCTGAACTTCAAAGAACTTTACATGGAATTCTACAACGTGCAAAAAGTTAAAAATATCATTCAAACAGTTGAATTTCTAAAATAATCATCAGTAATTTGATGCAGAGGGAGGTTCTTTTGCTGATTATATATATATATATAGTCGATATAGAAGAAAAATTAAAAATTATTCACGCTAATTGAATAATTGTATGTTCTTTTTCAATCTTTCCAATCATTTAAAATATTTAATATTGGCAGTCTAGATTCAATATTCGGTCAAGATTCGATAATGCCTTCAACTTTTCGATATGATGTTGTCAGTCAGTAGTCTGTCTATTACTGTCTTTGATTGTAATAGCTCATATTTAATACTCAACAAAACATCTTATTTCACTAAGGCAAACAACATACAATAAGTCAATGAATTTAATAATAGCACTATTGTTATAAAATGAAGACTAATTATAGATTTTTATTAATTTATAATACTAATTATCATGTTGGCCATAAATAAATAATTTAAGAGTTAATAACTTTATTTGATTTAAAACAGAATTATACTAATCTTCACTTGAACAAATAAATATCGATTTATGACTATAAAAAAAAAGAAGAAAATTAACAAACTTATATATTTAACATTCATTCAAGTTTATGACTACCTACCTATCATCATTACTATCGTTATTCGTCGTTTTCGTTATTGTTATCTTTATTATATGTACACATGCATACATGCCGCTATTAACTTTATTAACAATACAAATTAAAACAAAACAAAACGTTCATGTTATAAGTGATAGATGAGAGAACGAAACTAAATGAACATTTTTTTTTTTATTGTAATTAAAATAAAAGAATGTCAAAACAACATTATCAATATTTAGAGCATACTACTAATAACAATATGTTAAAGAGACGAACACGTACAGTATTTGGTGTAAATCAATTACAAGAATTAGAAAACGTTTTTAAATTATCTCATTATCCCGATTCTGTATTAAGAGAAAAACTCAGACAAGTAACTGGATTATCAGAATCAAAAATTCAAGTAGGTATTGATTTAATAATAGCGAATTGCCAATCATTTTATTTCACAAATTTAAATTTTGAGTGAAATTTTATTGTTCTAATTTAGATATGGTTTCAAAATCGTCGTGCTAAATGGCGGAAGCAAAACCAATTACGCCATTTTGGTGGTTTAGAAGATATTGTCACAACAGATTTCTTTGTACCAGCACCTAAAGCAACTTTTGTTCGTACAACTGTAGATAGAGAACATAAGAATCAGGTAACCATGAAAAGAAAAGATACCCAATTGATTCTTCTATTTATATTTAATTTTTGTTCACTAGAATCCACACAATCTGCCCAATAAATTCCCAATGATGACTGACAATCCAATACCAATCTACTCAAATGATATGTTATCTCCAGCTCATTATTTACCAAATTATTTACTGTATCACGTATTTCAAATGATAAACGATATTTATCCTATGTCACAATGACTAATCGGCCGTGATGGAGCCGTAAATTATACTAGTTAAAAATTACAATACTTTGGTGTCAAATTGTGAGTAGAAATTTTAATTATTTTGACCTCAAAGCATAAATTTAAAAACTTCATTCTCAGTTTAGAAAATATAGAATTTTTGTCTAGTTTCATTTGATATGTTCGGCTTAGAATGAATACTTTCTTTAAAACTTTACCGAATAGTAAAATCTGTCAAAAAATAGTTTTTTCTCTTCCAACTGGCTTTTCTCTATTAGACGATTAGAACTTTTTACACCAAAAACAGACTGCTTTTCAGATCGCAATTATATTTTTTGACGGATTTTACTATTCGGTAAAGTTTTAAAGAAAGTATTCATTCTAAACCGAACATATCAAATGAAACTAAACAAAAATCCTGTATCTTCTAAATTGAGAATGAAGCTTTTTAAATTTATGCTTTGAGGTTCAAACAATCAAAATTTCCACTCACAATTTAACACCGAAGTACTGCAGATCTACTGTTTTTTATCGTTTATTAAATATTCTACTACTTGTTTAAATTAGCATCGTAGATGTTAAAATATACTTATAGTTGAAAATTCAAGATACTTTGTTACCGAACGGTTTTCTACTACGTTGTTTCTTTTTTACCCTGTCTCGCAGCTATAGCTCGAACAGAGGTTAAGCTATTAGTATATGTAATCTTTTATAAATGAGCCAAGGTAAATTTAAATAAGCTATTTTGGAAATAGCATATTTTTTCCGTATGTTTTGAAATCTATTTATCTTATGACTCATACGCGCACAGTAGATAATTAAAATAGATATAATGACATAGGACGATCAGGTATGAGTATGAATCATTATGAAATCGCGAGACAGGGACCGATCTACCAAGATCTTGTTTAACAAGACAAGATGAAACTTGAAAAAAGTTTCAGGTTTTGTCTTACCTTGTCACATCCCCGCTTAGAATTTATGTAACAGACCTTGAAACACAATAGGCGCGTAAAAAAATTTCTTCTGAGATACATATTTAAGACCCATGATGCATCACTAGTTTATCTCCTGACGCAAGAAGACATTTTGTTATCTTTTTCAATCTTTCGATAGTCATGATGTGTATGTCTTGATGTATTAGCTACGAAGTCACCTTATTTTCAGCTATGATCCCTTCATTACACACTCGTTAATCAGGAGTATTCGCCAGGCTACTATCAAGACACATATGCATCTTTAAGGCAGCGGTTACACGTGTAATCTCCCATTAAGGGCTCCTGGCAGAAATTCGAGTTTTCTGTGACAGTTGCGATATGGAGTTACGCATTTAGTTAGATAGCCCATGATTTCTACTTTTAAAATACATCTTGAAAAATCCTATTCCTACGGTTTCTGAGAAATTTTGAAAAAGTTTTCTAAAACCTCCAAAAGACCAGGCTTTTGAGATCTTCGTAATTCTTCTCATATTCGACCATATTTTGTCCGTTTATTATGCAGAAATGTTAAGCATACATTTCTCTCCAAAATGAGACCTTCTAAGCTCTGTGCGATGTTCCAGTAAAAGGTTATAAGGATATTTCTAATAGTACCATAAACTTGACTTTTCTTTTTTCTTTCTTTCCTCCAAATTGATTTTTGCCTTCGTAGCTGTTCGTAATTCCAAGATTTCTCATCGATTTTAAGCGCTCAAAATCTCGGATCGGTCTTAAAATCTAGCCAGCAGTTAGTTCTAGGAACGACGAAGAAAGACCGCTCACTAACGTTTCAAAACTTTTTGTTTTCCTTAAAAACATACATACAGATCAAAAATTGGGCTCTGTTATTGCCTAGAACTAAGTGTTGGCTAGATTTTAGGATCAACCCGAGATTTTTAGCACTTAAAATAGGTGAGAAAGCTTAGAATTACAAACATCTACTTTTTTACCACTGTTTTAAGGATAACTATGGGTATATTCAAGTTTTTTTCAAGATTTAATGTTTATCCTGTTCTAACGTAGGTAAGATTTACATTCTATGAAAACCTGGTCAGGATTCCGTATTTTGTACCGACAATAAGTTGCTGACTGGAGAGGGGGGACCTTAAGCACTCAAGCACTAGTTGCTGGAAAAAGTTCGTAGCTCACTAAACGGATGTTGATTTTGGCATTTACTCCTAATAGACTCCGATATCCGTTTTGCGAGTTACGAAATTTTTATCAAAGTAGTTATTCACTGAAAAGGTACTTTCATTTTATAATGTCTTTGAAGTGAGGGAAATCTGGTAATCTCTGACCAGTATAGGTTTTTGATTAATTTATCTATTTGATTTGAACGAATCTAACATAATAAATAAACAAGCAACAGATTAGAAATCGTCTGTTCAAGGGTATGATGATCACTATAGTGGCCAGAGAAACAGCACAGATATGAAAGTTTTCTAAAAAAACGTATATCTCCATTTCTCTTGCTAGAGATGTCTTGACTAGGTACTGGGATAATTCTGTATCTAATAATAGTCTCGATGCATTTCCGTTGTGTTGAATCTAACTACATGATTTCTTTGGGGCTTTTGGGCGACTAAGGATCTGGACCGTAGCTAGCGCATTGTGCCTTTTTGATGGGTCTACAAAAGATGTGCACGATGAAAGTTGCACACCGAACGGAAACTTGCGCACGGAAAGATGCGCACGAGCAACTTGTGTGCAGCGAATCTTCCGCACGGATAGGTTGCGCACGCGATAATAAATTCTTATTTCAAAATCCTAAGACTTTTAATTGCCATTATCGTTTATGTATATGTAATTCTAGTAGTGTTCATAAGTGAAATGAAAATATTGTGAAGACTATACAAAACAATATTCTCAGGCTCAAGAGTTTGATGCAAGCAACAGTCCTTTGATCATCTTTAAACGATTTTCTCAAGTACAATTGTGAACTTGAGTTTGGCATGCGATCGTATTTAAAAGATCATATATATATCAGATCATCAATCAACAAAGGCACTAAGTTATAAACCGAAGAATAGTCATCTTATCCGATAAATCAATTAACTCTAATAATCAGGTGTCTTATCTTTTCTGAAGCTTTAATCCCATTACAATAACCAGGTTTTTAACCAGTCTACACCAATTTCTGGACCGGTCGGTGGCCAGCCAGCGCGGTTCGTTCCGCTGTTTTGGACCGGGGCTTCTTATTTTTAGACCGGTTACAACTCTGATGTACATAAGCAATAATGGCAATTAAAAGTCTTAGGATTTTGTAAATATAAATACGAAATAAGAATTTATTATTGCGTGCGTAACCTACCCGTGCGGAAAATTTCGCAGTACGCAAGTTTCTCGTGCGTATCTTTCGGGATCCCCTTTTTGATGTATTAGTGATGTCTATCAAATGCATTTAAGTTATTTTTTCCAAAAACAACAGCGATTTATAGGTGTTTTTTTGAAGATATTGAGGCGACTAGCAGTAAAAAGATGAGAAAATGCACCTAACGCACAGTGAACATACAGGCGGACATTTGGCCAGAAATCGAAAGTGAGCTGTTTTGTGATTTGAATAGAGTCAAAAGTATTTCGTTAAATGCGTTGTCGAATGGCGCAAAAATTTTTATTCTACGACTTTTCGTTACGGAAATCTTCGATAAAAAAACGGTCATATAAGAAAAACGATGTTCTCAGTATAATCGAAACGCGCTACTTAGCGGAGGTCTAATCTCACTCATTTTTACGCCAAATGTTCGTCTTGATGCACTGCATCTATGGTGCATGCCAAAAAATGCCAAAATTTTCTTATAGGCAGTTATAGATTTTTGAGGTAGTTTGCAATTTATTCGGTCCAGAATCACTTGTATTCAAATTCGGAATCAGTGTGAAAAGCCGCATCGAATAATATATAGTTTATTAGTTTTACAAATAAAACATTTATTGACAAAACTTCAGGGCAAGGCAAAATAAGGAATTTTTTGTCGAAAAAAATTTCTTTTTCGAATTCCACCTTTTTTACCTTTACTAATATCTGACACATAGTAAGACCATATTATGTTAAAATAATCATTTTTTAACTCAAAAAAGTCAGATGTTCGCCTGCTCTATGGAAAAATGCCCCCTGTGTAATGTGTCTTCAAAACGCGCTGTAGGCGCATTTTTAAGCCATCCGAGTGGTTTATCAAGACACTTTTTATGACTATGTCTCGAAGTTGATCCAGTTTATATGGGAGAACGCAATCGAGATACACAGACTGCGCATCCCAGACCTGCAGTATCTACCTATTTGCTCTGACGGCCGTCGGGGGGAAACTTATTAATTCGGGAAATTTTTTGAAAAATTGAAACAACTTTTTTGAAAAAAAAGAAATTCTGTCCGTGGATTACGTCTGGAAAATTTTTGAAAAAGCTTTTTCTGTCGAGGGAAATTTTTCAATCTCATGGGTAGATTTTGCACCTCTGACGCATTCGTTATGCAAGGCAAAACAGCGTAGGTGCATCACTTCTCACCTATAGAACTGAGCTATAAAAGACATGTACTTTAAAGAATAGCGTATGCAAGAACGACATAGTCTATGTAATTGTCGATTACTAATAGTACACTCACAAAAAACCTACATAGCTATTAGTATCCCCGTTACATGACATCCGTTATATGACAATACAAAATTACACAACCGCTTTCAAAATTCCAACCGTGTGAATCCACAACTATCACAAACTAGTAAAAGAATATCTAGTAAGATATTCTGATAATTTGCTGTAATTTTCCTGGGGTTCACACAGTTGGTTGGAAATGGAAGCACGTCATTTTTCTCACAATGTGTATCACGTTGTTGTCGAAACCATTGTATCTATGGAGACTTATCATGCTGATATTTCAAAAAAAATTTCCCCCGTTCTTCGTCAACAACAGCTTGAGTTTTCTATTTCCTGTGCTTTTCAACGATTTGGATAGAGCCTGTCTAAAGTCTAGTGCATTATCTGTGGATTATCTTACTTTCAAAACAAAATTTAAAATAACAAACAAAAAAAAAACGATCTTGCATAAATAAGTTCTGTCTGTTCTTCTCACTGATGCTCCGAGCGGATTGACTTACGAAATTTAAACCAAGAAGCAATTCTTGATGAACTTTTGCTCGTAGACGAGTTGCGGATACCCCTTCCCATCTTTTTTCACCGTGTCGCCAAATGCAGCGCACACGTTCGATCGAGCTCAAATGTATACCCGAGATAGAGTAGCGAAAAAGGAAATCGATGTATTTTTGGTCAGAATTTTGTGATATGATCTTTCTATGAATTTTCTGGAAAACTCCAGTTTTCATCCAGTCACATTATGACTCGTTGAAAAAATGGGTCGATCAAGTCGAAATTTTCACCACAAATACTCCAGATCCTATCCCACGTTTTAAATTTTTTGTCGAAAACTGTGCTTTCCTTCTCGAGATCTATAAAAAATGCTGAAAATCACGCAAAAAAAGTCAATTTTTCCAGTGATTTTCAGTATTTTTCGTATACCTCAAGACGAAAAGCGCACTTTTCGACAAAAAATTTAAAACCTGGGATAGGGTCTGGAGCAGGGATCGCAGATCTTCTGATTTTGGCAGAAAAATCGTTTCATGGTTTCATGCACAAACGTTTGGCTCTTTCAAGGTATTTTCTAAATATGATTCTCTATTTTCAGTTTTTTTTGTTCTTTTGCATATGTGGTAGAGTTTAGGGTTCTAAATAACTTTGCCATTTGGCATACTATCAAAATCAGCTTCTGAGAGATAGTGGAAGTTGTTTTTTGTTTATTCCGTATGATTTGCACGAAATGGTTATAATTACCCCATGAAAATGGCGGTGTGAATCAGCGGCGGAACCAGGATTTTTAGTACAATGGGCAAACTTCTATTGTATCGGAAAAAAACGATGGGCAAAATGGGCAAGGTTTTTGTCGATGGACCAAAGATTTTTGGCCCCAAAAGAACACAAAAAAATGAAATGAGATTCTTTTAATTTTTGAATTAGATTCTAATTCAAAAGTAAACAAATAATTCTGTCTATAGGTACTATTACATATATCTTTCTAAGGGTTATACAAAAAGAAACCGCATGGGTATATCTGCTAAGTAAAATTTCAATGGGCAAAAACTTACTAATAAAAATTACAATGGGCAAATCCCCAAATGAAATGGTCAATTGCCCATTTGCCTCCCCCCTGGATACGCCGCTGGTGTGAATATATTTACCCCAGTTCGCATATATCGAAAAAAATGACTGTTTCTTTTGATTTTACTAATTTCTCATTAAGTAATTAACGTTAAAGCCGATTGACTGGCAGTTCATCAGGTGGATAAATTCTCTACAACCTGGACTAGTTTTTAATTGAAAACATCGAAGTTCAGCGCTGAATCAAATTTGATTTACATTGTCCCAGCCAGTTTTGCTGAGTTGGTTATAATTATCCCAACGGTATACGTTGACTGGATATAATTACACCAAACGGGATAATTATAACCAGTTAAGAGCAACGTACTGGAAATTGAATGGAACTAATTAACAGTAACGAATTTTCAGACAATTTTTACATCAGTGAATAGTTGAAAGTCATATGTATCTACCTCTGTGATATCATTTTTCTCCGACTAAAAATGACTTTACCATTCGTAAAATACTGCGAAAAAGTTTGTGCCTGTTTATAATTACCCCACTCTCTAAAAAAAGCATTTATATCTTTATTTTGGTTTTTCTCAAATAGAAAATTTTTAGGGTTTTTTGAATTACCTCTGTTTCAGAGTGCAGTTTACTCTAAATTCTAAATCTTTTTTTTTAATGAATAATTTGAAGCAGAAGACTAAGTTACTCGAAATCTATATTTTAATTAACTTTTTAGTTTAATTTTTCTATGCACACAAATCAAAATAATGTAATTACAAACACCTTAACCGTTTTCTGTCCGTGAGATTGAATCGCGCAGATGTCAGCTAAAACCAAGTGTAACCTGTATCGAAAATAGTCAAAAGATAGCCTACAGATTCAAAAGCCTTTTAATAAAAAGGTAAAACATCAATGCTTCTCTTACTGTAAAACTAACAATTACTTTTTCAGAAACAAACAGTATACACTGTAAGGTTGGAAATTATTTATGGAAAATGGTCAGCGATTTTCAAAGAATACATATGGAATTCCCCGAGGATTTTCAAATTTACAGAAAATCGAATTTCCAACAATCTAGAAAATCCTCCTTGATTTTTCAGTTTGTTAGAAAATCGCCGTTGAATTCCCATAAATAATTTTCAAGAAAGTAGAAATTCTTTTTGATTTTCTATAAACTGGAAATTCCTTAGCGGGTCTGCACCGAGTGACGGCGCGACCAAGTTGTATGGAGGTTGACACCGCTCATGCTTTTGAGAAATTTCTGGTGAACATCTCCGATTTTCGGACCTTCCTACCAAAACTTCGCGCCACCGCTGTCTCTATCTAAATCAAAATTCTTCTTGGCATAGGCAGAATTATGATCTAAAGTAGAAACTGTCAAAGTTGATTTAAGTGTAATATGAGTGTCTTTACGTGACGCTCTTATACCTACACTGATTGCGAAACAAAAGGATGAATTAGTATTTGGTCTAGAAATTCCTGGGCGAATTTTCACTTTCTAGAAAATCGCCGAGGATTTTCTAGTTTATAGAAAATCAAAATCGAATTTCCAGATTCTTGGAAATTATTTATAGAAATTCGATTGATTTTCTATAAACTAGAAAATCCCCGGCGATTTCGGTTGATTTTCTATAAACTGGAAACTAATTCAAGATTACAGTGTACACTAAATGTCCCGCGAGATGTTCGATTTTGTTTCTGTTTCTCTGATATCTCTATTCATATTCAACATTTCTCAGTGATTTTCCTATCCTTTTCCCCAGCGATGCAGAACGTACGCCAAAATTTCAGACTCAAAATATTGTGTCGTTTCTAGGAAAAATTAGTTTTACTAGAAAAATGTCCCGGGAGATTAAACCCGTCCTATCTCCTTGAAAAATACACTAATTTTAGCTTTATCGTATACTGTTCGATAGAACTCGACGAGATAATTATAGCCATGCGTATTTGCTAGCTTTCTTATGTAGTAATTGGCATTTTAAAGCTGAAAAATACCGAATGCTACATTATCATAGAAGTTTGTATATGAGAGAAGCTTTAACTAGCATTAAAATGTACTGAATTCCACATCATTATAGAGGTCTCACTCGGATCTATCGGTTGGTATATTCGAACAAAGTTTGAAAGGTCATTTTATGTCGTCTTTACCGCAATAGGCTCAGGACTTATGCTTCTCATAGCGAAAATTCATTTGCCGAGAGAAATGAAAGCACATCCAGAAAAATTGTTTTTTTATCATTTGCTTGGGTTGTCTAATTTACTGAGATAGTGAATAGAAGTTTACACGAAAGTTCATTTTTTTGCGTTCTTCCCGTAGAAATGATACAATAGCAGTACAAATCACTCATATAAGCGACATACCTTCCGCCCTTTCTAATTATAACACACACATTTCTATATTAATTTCTTTTCATTTTCTATTGGTCCTGTGAGGTAGCGTGAATGAACCAATAAAAGACTCATTTTACAGATGATATGAAATGAATCAGTGAACAATAGCAGGGGAAATAATTAAAACGACAGATAATATATCGAAAAAATACCTCTCGTATGCAGATTCTAACATAAAACTAAACTCCCAAATAAAAGACCCATTATCGCATGGAATTCATTGATTATTGTGATATTGTTTGTTTTCAGATCTGACAGATTAAATGAAATAATGAATCGGATTTGCCAGTGACAAGATATTCTATTTAAAAATATAAAATTCTAATTCCTTTTATCTGTTCAGATAACGTTAACAGTCAAATATGGCACTTAGTGATGTTGTTCTCGATTGTAAGTTAAGAATTTGCTTGCGTGTATGTTACAAAAACAATATCATTGTTGTTTATTTCTTGTTTTAGTTTATGAAATGACCAATAGTAATCGCGTTGATATGAGTGATTTTGAATTAATGAAAGTTCTAGGGACAGGAGGTGAGTGATCTGTTCGTGTGACTATTAAAACCGGAGAGAATCCACCTAGAACATCGGCCGAGTTTCTTCCTAAAAAAATATTCAGTTCCCGATTTAAAGATACCTTAAGATACTCAGGATTTTTGTTAACATCGAAGCAGAGAATGTTATCTAACTGGAAAAATCTATATTATGAACTTGACTGATGATATGATTTATTCCTTTGTTTAAGCGTATGGCAAAGTATTTTTAGTTCGAAAAATTACCGGTTCAGATATAAATAAGTTATATGCAATGAAAGTATTAAAAAAATCGGCAATATTACAAAAAGCTAAAACAGCCGAACATATCAAAACTGAACGACAAGTATTAGAAGCAATTAGACAAATACCATTTCTTGTCTCGTTACATTATGCATTTCAAAGTGATGCAAAACTTCATCTTGTTATGGGTATGCACTTATCTATGAAATTTTTTCATTCTATTTTCAATGTTTTTCCTATAGATTATGTTAGTGGTGGTGAATTATTTACACATTTGAATCGTCGACAACATTTTTCAGAACCGGATGCAAAAATCTATACAGCAGAATTAACATTAGCATTAGATCATTTACATAAGGTTAGTGTTTAGTTGATATGTGTACATGATTTTTAGAAATTTCAAAATCTTGTAGTAGTTTATATATATATTTTCCAATAAGTAGACGTTGTCTAAATTCGAAACATTCATCATAAATTAATTTAATATACAAATATTATAAATTCTCTACACTCAAAGCCATTGAACTGTTAGTTTATTGCACGCTACTATGTCATTGTTCGGAAACTGATTCCACTAAGAATTACAGAATGTGTGTTTAGTTATTATACTATTTTCATAATAGGAATAAAAATCACTCAAAGAAGAAAATAATTCAGCTTATATTTTCCATAAATGTGCGGTATTCGATAGTAGTCTCAAGATCTGTTATTGTAGCTTTGAAGACATCAAAACAAAATTTTTGTAAAATAATTCGGAAATTTAAAAAACAACAAAACATAAGATTTCATGACCTTATAACTTGAAAAGAACTTCGATTAAACTTGTACAAAAAGGAATAATGAATGACGGTATGGTTATCAATAAGCAAATGTGTTTTTCCATCGTGTATTTAAAAAACTGTTTGAAAAAATTCTACTATTGAAATTGTCAACTTCTGAACTACTAAAAGTAATATTTTCTTCGGGATTTCACGAATCTGAAGGATATTTTTAATTCAACAAGTACTGATAAACGATCGATAATTATAATCAAGTTAATTCACAATATATGGCACTGTATCTGTTAAAAATGTTTAGATTCTGCATAATGTGTGATGATTTAAATAGTTTGAGTTTCGAATACATATCTAATAGAAAAATCTTCTAAAACATAGTATTTGGTATGATTGTTCAAGAAGATCTACAAATTTCTCTAGTAACATGAAGATGAAAAAGTAATGGTTATACTTTCAATGAAATAATTCTCTAGAGCCAAAAGACACTCCAACATGTATAGATATAAATTAAATCACAAGTAAATCACTCTTAGCAGAAAAAAGCCATTCTCATACGCGTACATTTTGAGGACAGTTTTCTTGAATAGTAACGTACGACACAACTGTTAGATTCTTAAAAATCGAAATAAGTAAGATATATTTGGATTAATCAATGGAAAGAGAATATTTTGTCTGATACTCATTAATAGACTCGTTCAAGAGGGTTATGGGGTTTACACCACAGTTTGAATGTCATATTTTTTTGGCTTGAATTTCTTTGTTGTCAAAGTACTTCTTGTAAGAAGAATATGAAAAGTCAAAGCTTTATAGAAATTTGATAAATATTCTGTATTATTCATTCATGTTTAGCTTGGAATTATTTATCGTGATATTAAATTAGAAAATATTTTACTCGACAGTGACGGACATATTGTTTTGGCCGATTTTGGTCTAAGTAAAGAATTTCGTCCAGATGATGCTGTATGTATTTTTATTCATAATTTTTAGTTTAGAAAATAATTTAACTTCTTTTTCTTGATTTTCTTTTTTTCTTTTTAAGGATAAACGAACATACTCATTTTGTGGAACAATCGAGTACATGGCCCCCGAAGTGGTGAAGGGTGGAGATAATGGACATGATTTTGTTGTTGATTGGTGTAAGTTATTATCTTGATCTGGCTTGTGAATGATCCTCTTTTTCCTCTTTAATCCAAGGCCTCTCCTCTTTTTCTGGGATTTTTTAGCAAAAACGCCAGAATTCACGCTATTTTTAGATCTGAAAGTAGTTTCAGATATATTTTTTTATCAATGCCGTCATATGAAACAAAATTCCATCACTCGCGGTTACAGAAAACAGTCAATGAAGTCCCTGTGAGACGATGGTTAAAGCAAGCTGCTAAAGAATCAATCTTCGTATGTACATTGTGTAAAACCGACGAATTAGATTGTGGGAACAACGGACAGTAGTCGATAGTACAGCATATGAAGAAAGATTAACACCGTGAAAAAATCAGAGAGTTGAAAGAAAATATCACATTCGTTAGCGATGCTATTTGAACAGTCAGATATGTTTCTGTGTTAAACAAGAATAACTCCTTTTTCCTGTGTTTTTAGTTTTTTACTCGTGAAACACGAAAAAAAAATACTTTAAGTAGGATGAATCTTTTCTTTGAGAGTCTTAAGCTACTTTGACGTGTATACAACATTGTCAGTACCGTTTTCCGGCCAAAAAAATACCTCCTCTTTTCCTCTTTTTTACCCAACGCTCTTAAAAAATTTTTAATGTTTTCTCTTTTTTCTGGAAAGGACCCTTGGGAAGCTAGATCTTGGTTCAAAACTGCGAATTATTATCTTATTTCCTTCTAATCTTCGTCTGGACTATTGCTTAACTCAACTTTAAAATATTGTAGGGTCGTTGGGTGTGCTAACTTTCGAACTGTTAACCGGAGCATCACCCTTCACCGTTGATGGAGATCGAAACACACAACCCGAAATTTCAAAGTAAGTTTATGAACGTTCTTCTAACGGTTTCTCATTTGTTAAATATTTCGAAATAACTTCGTTTATCTACGTGTGCGATCAATACTTATTCTTATACAGAAAATGATATATTTTTGTTTAGACGTATACTTCGTAATCAACCATTGATACCTTCTTATGTTTCAAAAACAGCAAAAGATTTTATACTCAAATTATTATTGAAAAATCCAAGACGACGTTTAGGTGCTAAAGGATCAGATGATGTCAAAAAACATCCATTTTTTAATGTAAATTCAATTTTAACTACTTCTCTTAAAATTTAACTATATCTGTACTTTTTTTCTTTAAGGGCATTGATTGGAATGCATTAGCAGAAAAACGAGTACCAGCTCCCATAAAACCAAAACTTCGAGACGAAATGGATACAAGTAATTTTGCCGAAGAATTTACTCGTTTACCAATTACAGACTCACCTGGTCTCGCGCCACCAACCGAAAGTTTATTTAGAGTATAATTTATCTTTTTGGTTTTTATCATCGTATATTGTAATTGTGCTATTCTATTCTAGGGTTATTCATTCATTTCACCATCAGTGTTATTTGGTCCAGAAAATGCAGTTAATGAAGAATTATATAATTTATTACGTTTAACAAATCATCAAAGACCAGATCCGTCACAACTACACCGTTTAATCAAAGTAAAATGAAACTATTTGACGCATGCATACATAAAATGAAATAACGTTGTTTTTTCCTTGTATTTAGACAAGTTCATTTTTCTTTAATTATGAATTAGTCGATAGAGAAGGTTTTCTTGGTGAAGGAAGTTATTCCATATGCAGGTAAAGAGACAGCATATTTCGTAATGTTATAACTCTTACGTTATTATGGGATGTATTATTTATAGACGTTGTCGAAATCGTCGTACTCAAGAAGAATTTGCTGTTAAAATTGTTTCCAATCGCCAAAAAGTCGACACTCAGAATGAAATAGAGTTGTTAACACTATGTCAAGGACATCCGAATATTGTTCAGTTACACGAAGTATTTCGTGATGAGGTAGGTGTCGTTTTCTTCTGATAATACACTTTTAATTTCATAAATATATTTGTTGTTTTAATCAAATTATTTCTTCTGTTTTAGCTTCATACCTATATCGTCATGGAATTACTCACTGGTGGTGAATTATTTTATCGTATTCGTACTCAAGCAACATTTTCAGAAAAAGAAGCTAGTCAATTAATGAAAAAACTTGTATCAGCTGTCAGTTATATGCATAGTCAAAATTTATGTCATCGAGATCTCAAACCAGAGGTTTGTCAACAGAATAAAAAAATAAACAAATCAATGTATATGAAATAATTGATTTATTTAGAATTTATTGTTTTCAAATGCACAACCACAAGCAGAAATTAAGATTATCGATTTTGGTTTTGCTAAAAAACGTGTTAAACAACAACAAATGATAACGCCATGTGGTACATTGGGGTACGTGAATTTTGGTTGAAGATCTGTTCTTAGCATATTTGTATTATAATGATAGTAAAATAAAGACTATTTAATCTCGTCAGAAATTAACTTTTTAATATTTGTTTAGATATACTGCTCCTGAAGTTTTACGAGCCGCCACAGTAATTCAGACAAATTTACCATCTGGTTCTTCATCTTCCACATCTTCAGCAACATCCCAAATAGTCTCATCGTCATATGGTTATGATGAATCATGCGATTTATGGAGTCTAGGAGTCATTTTATATACAATGTTAAGCGGTGAAGTACCATTTAATTCATTGACACAATTTCGTTCTGCTGAGGAAATTGTTGATGATATAACACGTTCAAAATTAAGTTATTCATCACCAGCATGGAAAAATGTATCACAAAATGCCAAAGATCTTGTTAAAGGTAAATAAACTCTTATAAATACTTACGCTTATGGAAAACAAGATGTATAATCATTCTTTTATAGGATAAATAGTAAAAAATGAGAATTGTATGTTTACTTGCGCCTCATTTTGCTTTTTAAAGAAAACAATTTTTTTTGCTTGATTATGCTCATCAAGTTAGCTATTTTTGCTGTTGATTGTTAAGTTTATATGAATGATGATCTGCGTTAGATCGATCAAGCTGCACAATAGTTGCATCAAATACGATAATAGGAGCTGACATTGTTTCGCGAGTGAGTTGAATGTATATTATTCTCTGATACTTGAACACATGCTCAACTGTCTGTCCGCTCATCAATATTGTGTACTGCGCTTCTAGTATTATTACTGTGGAAATCTAGTATTATTATTGTACATTCAGTTTAATAAGAGCAGAACTAACGTTTTTCATTGTTTATGAAGGAAAATATATCATTTGGTTGTGCGTTTTGAAGGACTTTCATTTAAAATAATAGTAGAATGGAATGGAAGAGCATTGTAACTTTTCAAGTACTGTAATTTAACTGTATATCTTTTTGCTACCGCGGTTCAACACGTTGAATTAGTATTCTATACTAATTTGAAGATGAGTAAGATTAACTGAAGAACTAATATTTAATCATTTGTGTTTTGTAGGTTTATTAACCGTAGAACCGTCGAAACGTTTGACAATCAAAGATCTAGCACGAAATAACTGGTTACGTGGTTCAAATGTTTCTACACACGAACAACAATTATTATTAACACCTGGAATTCTATCACTAGCATCACGGTCATTAATTGTATGTAATCGAAAACGATCTGACGGCTATTAGTCTCACTTGTTATAATATATCTTATTTAGGTTCGTGCGGTAAATGTAACAATGAAAGCATTTCAAAAAGCACAACAATTTCAGTTATCTTCGGTACACGATGGACTCTTAGCCCGTCGACGTCGTACAAAACGATCTACTGATTCATCATCTTCCACATCTTCGTCTACATTACTGACATCACCAACAATAAACAATAGTAACAATAATAATCATCATCATCATTCAATGAATTCTAGTACTGGTAATATCAATAATAATACATCGACAACAAATCTACTACCCCATACGAGGCGTCGTTGTGAAAATGGTGTATGTCGATGTCGTCATGCATGTCCACAGCAAAAACAACTCACAACGTCAGTCTCACAAGCGCAAGCGTTTGATTTTAGTGACGAACGTGTTCATCAATTAATGAATAACAATCATTGTACATCAAAATCAAGACAACAACATCAACAACAACAACCACCACCACTACTCATTTTAAACGGTCATTCTGTACAGCATCAACAACAGTCATATCAATACAATACAAGATCACGAGCAGCACATGAGTTTTTACATCCATCCAATATATTTCCAACTATGAATCATCTTTTATTACCCCCTCCACCTTCGTCCATTGTTCAACATACAATAACACCACTAACAGTAACAACAACAAACGGTTTTACTCCTAATCAGACACTAGATCATTTAGATAATAATAAACGTAATCATACTCAATTAATAGAAAATATTAATAGTAATAATAATAATAACACCGGTTCAAATGGACCGTTAGCAAAAAAAATGAAGCGCTCAGGAACTATTGTCTTAGATGATTGAAGAGTCAGAAGATAAGGGTGATAGTCAATTCTCTTTTAAATAAATAATCTTATATCCGTCTTGCTCGATTATTTTATTCCTCTATCTTTCCTGGTGATTTGTTTGCTTTTAGTTCATAATTGTTTTTGGTCTAACCACAGATCAATTTTTGTTTTCTTTTGTCTGTTTAATATCTTTCTCTCTATAATTTGAATATTATTGTTTGTCTCGTTGTATTTTGTGTCCCTTTTTTTATTTTCTTTCATCTTGGAAAAAGCTCAGAAATACATATGATTCAATACACTATCCAATACACCACTTATTTTTCGTCAAACGAAAACAAAAGAAAATTGTGTTTCTCTATTTGATTGATCTATATAATAACTACTTATTGACAATATTTTTGTTTTTTGTTGTTGTCCTTATTTGTTTGTCTGGCGTTGATTTCTTTGTCTATTCTTGTATTCTTCGGATATTTTCTTTTTTTTTATGCAGTGTATACGATGTTTACTAGTGTTTTTTTCTGTCGATCTTTTTCAAAATATGTTTCTTTGCAATATATTATGAGATAAACAAACAATAAGCCATCGATGAACTTATAACGATCAATTATTAAGAGTATGATTGTTTTAACACAAATGTATCTTCGTTCGTCGACTAAAATGAGGACTAGAATAAATAATGTAAATTCATGACAGAGTGTAATTTAGCAGATATTGAATGCTCGTATAACGTCATATTATCACCAACTTTTATATTTGGGTAATGGACTAAATATAAGGAAAATAGAAAGTCGTTAATTAGCAATAGAGTTACTATATGAATCGTTAATATGGCCACTAGGGAACCTCTTCGAACTAGAGGTGTGCAGGTTATGAGTTTTTTGTACCTTGTACTCTATCCTACCCTATTAGCTTTCACACCCTACCTTATTGACTTCATATAGTTTGCACTCTACACTCTACCCCACACATAAGAAAGTAGGAGTAAAATAGGATCATTTATTCAGCGACCACAGTTCGTTTCTCTATCTACAGTTTTATTCAAAAACAATAAACACACATTTTATTGCTGTCGAAAATTTCGCAATAACAATATGTCGCCAAGTATGTCGGGATTCAAGGATTTTAGTCTTTGTTCTAATATTCGACCAGTAGCACTGAATGTTCTTTCTGATGTGGTCGAACTCACAGGAAGTCCCAACAATGATTGAGACAATAAACTGAGATTTGGATAGATGACAGCATGGCTCATGCACCACTAAAGAAGCGAATATCTTTCAGTATTAAGCGTTCTTTATCTTATAGGGTACGATCTACGGCAAACGTCTCAACCTGTACCCTATCTTGTAAAAATGTTTCGTACCCTTAACCTACCCTACCATACCCTACCCTAATAGGATAGGGTACGGTAGGAGTCATCCTGCACACCTCTACTTTAGACGATGGATGGTTATTCGATGTCTGTTTCAAAATTCTTTTTCGATTAAAAACTGCTGAATTAGATGTAGATGCTGATTCTAAGTTCAATGTCCATTGTTTATTGTAGCCTATTTGCGGGTAGATTTTTGAGAAAACACACATTTTTTAAATTAATTTTCTTTGACATTGTCATTTTGTGCAGCACATTAAATTACTTGCGTTATCTGATACGTTTTAATCGAGCAGGAGTTTTATTAATTCGAGTGCACTTATTATCTATAGTTTATAGTTTTTTTTCTACGGAAGTGCTTTCATTGAAATTCCCACTGCATAATTGATACGTGCACAAACAACGAAATTTGATGTGCTCAACAAATTGGCAATTTAAAAAAAGATTAATTTGTCTCTGTCTTCCTTCCTAGATCGGTTTTCAAAAATCCACCCGACAACAGGCTATAGGAAACAATGGACGTTGAACTTGGAATTAGCATCTGAAATTCTCTACGGATCAGAAAATTTTATTCAAAAAGGAATTTGGAAAGAGCATCTAACGACCTTCCGAATATTAGTGTATAGTCATTGCTGATGAGGCTGTGCTTCTTGCCAATGAGATGAATAGGATTAATCGGATATTCATGAGAAGCCCTCCGCTGTGTTTAGAACGTCTAAAAAAAATTGTATTTTTGAACCCATTCACCAGGAATGCCAACTAAAAGAAAAATCAAGATAGACAAATTGAGAAAAAAGAAGGACGTAAAGGGTCTTTTTCATTCAAATTTCTTCTATTATTCGTTTTTTACTATCTCAAACGTAAAATTTAACAGTTAATATCTGCCCAACAATAATTCATATATGAAAAAATGGTTTCTTTAAATGAATTAGATGCTGGGATTGATATAATAAGAGAATTATACGATAAGAGAAATAATAAGATTTTACAATTGCAGTGTTGATGAGCTTGTTTGTGAAAATATTATAAAAAGTGAGAAGTCGATTGAGAACATTTAGACGAAAAATCATTACCGTTTTTTTGAAAAAATGACGGCTATAAACGTTGAAAATATCGAAATAACAAAACAAATTCTTTTGCGGAGGCATCTCTATAGCGGCTTCATCTCAGACTACTGCTTCCAGTCACTCGGACATCCTAGAAAACAAAGTTTTCTATCTTCCATATCGCAAGCTTACTGAGAATTAGTCATGATTTAATGTAAGAACCATGTGTACCGAACATATGGCCCTTTGAATGCGTAAGCTGCTCAGTCGATGTTCGATTTTTGCTCTCATACTTTTGTAGTAGATAGCAATAGTGAAAGACTCTCCAAATTTTTTTGCCAGAACCTACCTTCTTCAAAATTAATGGAACTTTTCGTGGCAGTCCTAAAAACACTCTAAGGTATAAAATTGTAATTTGTTTTGTTCATATCTCGATCTGGAAAATAGATTAAGAATTCCTAAGACTGACTAAGACTGTTTTATTCACGAAAAGTGAGAGTCATCAAAGATCACCGACCCATAATAACAATGACTCAACCCAAACAATACCAAAAAAGTAATAAAAAAAACAAAATTTTTAAAAAGATAAGCAAAAAAGAACAGACATATATTCTTAACTGACAAATTCCTATTTGGATCATCATATTTTTTTGGAAACTGTTTCTTCATAGCAAAGTTTTCTGATGTATTGGAAAAAGTTGAAGTTGAATCTGTCATAAATCTGACTTTCTGACCACTTTTGACTTTTATTATACAGATCTGATTTAATCAAAGTTATTAAATTCTGTAGTAGTATACACACTATACAATTCTCTTCACTCTCTACGCTGTTCGTGCAATTTCAGCATATGCATCAAGCAATCGACTTGACTCTTCAATGTCAAAATATGTTCCATTCATCTTCTCATTTATTCTATTCAGTACATCTATCTTTGCATGTCCAAGTGCTAATGTCCAAAACTGTTTAATCACTACACCGTGTGTGCTACTTAATAAATTAAGTTCCTGTTCCGGATAGATTGCGTTTCCATCGGTCATAAAAATAACTGCATATTTTAAATCCAAATCTGCTCTTCTAGAATTTTGAATACACTGATTTACTTGTGTAAAAGCTGCACAAAAATCCGTTGTGAAACCGCCAAATTGTACAGTGTCTACATTAACATCTTTAATTTCCTTATCAAAATACACGAGATGTGCTTTATTTGTGAATGTAATAATCGTTATATGATCCTGCACACCGATCAAGTCTTGACGACGTCTTAGAAATTCTTTGACGGCAGCGAGTGGATCCTGCCATGGTTTGCCTTCCATTGATCCAGATGAATCAAGGAGGAGAATGTAGTGAAGAGACTGTGGACGTTGTTTCTGACGATAGGTATTAAATGTAATAAATTTCATATGATATTTATTACAGAGATCTTCACCGATTTTTGCCCATATAGTTAAAAATTTTTCATGTAAACGTGACAGTTCATCATTATTTAACAAAGATTCAAATATCCAATCTGAATGATCTAATTTAAATTGTGACCATTTCTTACGTAAAGAACCAACAATAATATATTGATCATCTGTTATCTGTTCACACATAAATAATGAGGCTTCTTCAGTTTCTTCAAATTTATAACCATTCATTGCACGTAGAGCATGCCCTGTTTTACAACGATGCTTGTTCTCTTCTGATCCCGGATTTGATTTGATCTTTGCATGATCATGATCACACGGGCGTCCACAACAGGGACAACAATTTGGACAGTCACGAATTTTATCGCGCATACGTCTCTTCGGTATCAATTATAGTAAAATCACATTTCTGTACCTGAAATTGATTAAAAATCTTTGATTTTTCTTGTGTAATACGTTCTAAGAATGCAGATAGTGTAGCAATCGAACATGTATCGTAGATTGTTGCCATTACTTTTGTAATTGCTTGTAATTTTTCACATGGCTTGTACTGTTGTGCCAACAGATCAAATGTCTGTTGAGCATTATTTGTAAGATGATAATTGTTATTTTTTTTGTAATGGATACGGTGTGTAGAGGGAAGGAATTGGTTGGCCCGAAAGATAGTGGTATAATAGAATAGCCATGCACCGTCGTTTATTATTAAAGTTTTGTTTTACATTTAATAAGTTACGTTCATTCGATTGAAAAATGTCATCCACAAATTTTGCTGTTCGACCGTGTTTAGCTTTTATTGTATCATGGAGACTTGCGGGTTGAACGATAAAAAAGAAAATTGATGAGAAAACGTGTCCTGTAGATACAGTATCAAACAAAATCTTTTTCCAACGCTTCAAATGATTAGTAAATTAATAAGTGTCTTTCGGATCACCAAATTCAAGTGAGAAAATGACTCAGTAAACTGTTAGCCTTAGGGCATTAATGGCTTTTAAAAGAAAACATGCAGTTCCGATTTTCTAGGGAAGAAACCTGGATCGCATCTCGGTTGCAAAAACGAGACAGATGCCTAACTTACCTTGCATACAATCAAAAAAATTTGCCAACGTTTCACTGTACTGTGCTTTCAAATGCATCAGATTCTGATTTATCGACTGTTCAATTCCAACCCATATATTATTAAAATATTCTACAATAATCTTTGTTGGATCTTCAATGTAGTCTAGGCACCACTGTTTTTCAGCTGTCATTATTCGTCCATCACACTTATCCTGTATCGCTTTACGATTCAGATCAGCATATCAGCAGATCAGCAGTAAATCAAATTTAATACGTTTTCGACCATCTTCAAGCAGAGCTTTCAAAATATATTTTTTAACTTGTTTACACAGACTAATTGCACAGCCATCATCATTCGATGTATTTGAAACAACCATTGAAATAAAATGTGATCTTAGTTCTTGTTTACGATCATCCAATGTCGACAGGGTGTGTAGGAAATGTTGTTGCTGCTCATTAAAGTAGTATTTTGTTAACAGAATAATAGCACATGTATGAAATATTGATTTCAGTTGTTTATTCAGTGTTAAGCAAAATGGACTCAGTTCTAGATTAATATCTTTAATTAACGTGTTAATAACACCAGCGATCTTCTGTACAAGATCTGTGTGAATTTGACGTGTTTCATTTACATTACCTGTATTACCATTTACATTGGTACGTGCAGCATCAACCACGGGTCGAATAACACTATCAATCAGTTCCGAAGCTTGTACATAGAGATGATCTTCTTTACGTATGTTACTACGATCCCTATTCCATTCATTTACAATTTCCTGCCGTGTCAGCATCAGAAAATATTCACTCGCCTGTATATATCGACTTTTTGTACTCTGTTCATTTGTCGTCGTTTCTGCACTAGTACTATTCCATCTCATTATGGCATTAAACACTCGTCTAGGAGTACTCTTATTCTTAGATTGTTTTGGTTCTATTTCGGTTATTGCACTACTATGTAAGAAGTCAGTAAAATGTTTTTTTAACCGTTGTTTATTCAGATGAACTAGACTGTCAATTGTATTTGTTGAATAGGGATTCATTGAATCGGGAATGAACGTATGTTCCTGCATCAGAGGATACTTGTAAGCTAATTCAGTGAAACGTGAGTGCAGATCTTTTAGAACATGTTTCATGTCGTGGTTATCGTTGCATACAGTTTGTAACCATTTTAGATGATTCAAAATATAATTTTGATAATCCGGCAGACAGTCTTTTTCAAAGATGTTGTAGTTAGTAAAGATATGTTTAAGAGCTGACTGAACACGTTCATTTGGATCAAAATTCTTATTAATGTTATCGATGATTGTATAAAACATTTTATCAAACTCATTGGATGCTGATTGTTCAGACATAACTGTACCTCTGGCAGTGATCTCATTAATCAACTTGTTTAATTCACCTTCACCATTTTGCACCAGCAGTTGTATTTGTGCTCGTTCACTCACCATTTTACATTGTGTTCTTAGTGCATTAAACATTTCAATAATTTGTACCTTTAAAAACTGTCTACTCCTTGTGCGGATTGTATCAGATGTTTTTAACAGTTTTAAACGGTTTTCAAGTTCATCATTCAATTCATCCTGTTTCTTCTGTATTTCAGGTAGAAGAAGATCTTCAATTTCACGTTCATTCTTACTTGCAGATTTACTGGTAAGTTGATCACAATATTTGAAAGAGAATTCCTGATGAAGTTTCGTGCTTATGTACTCACGTACTTCATTGTCCTGACGACGTTCAGTTATATCACGGTAATAGGTTAGGTCAGCAAATTTTTGTAAAGTATTAAATATTGTAATTGAAGATTTAAGCCAATGTAGAGGATCAGTAAACTGTTCAGAAGAACGCGAGAGATATTTCGTCGCTGAGTCAATAATATCACCTGTCAGCAATTGCACTAGTTCAACAAAGTCCGGCTCAGTTTTTATCAAATACGGTAAACTGGTATCATTGAGTGGGCCACGTTCTTTCTTGAATGCATTCGGTAGAGTATGAACTGTTTCCGGTTTAATATCGATCATTCCACTCAGATCAAAAGCTTTCGGATCCGTTATGATCTTATCAATCGCTGCTTTATGATTTGGGATGTTTAAATCAGCTTTCTGATTTAATACAAAATGGACAATTGGCTGTGGAACACGGCTGACACCCATTTCTTTCAGGGAATCAGCACACAATGTTAACATTGTCTTCAACGATTCATTTACTTCACCGATCATGTTGACAATAACTAAATGTGATACAGCTAAACAGAATAATACTAATCGTCGATCGAATTCTTTATCTTCACGTTCTACACCGAACAAGCCTTCAGTATCGATTAGCAGAATATAATCAAATTCAAGTCTATTTGATTTCATAAATGAACCGTAGATACCACGTGTACACCGGCCATCGCGAACATCAAAGAACGTACCAAACATATAGTTCAACAACGTACTTTTTCCCGAATTTTGTGGTCCAAGAACACTGATTGTCAAAACCTTTTTATTCGAGAAGCACGATGCCATTTGTGATGATAAGACCTTTGTTAGAAACAAATGTGGAAAATGATAGTTATCACCGTCAATTATTTTAAAGGGAAGACCGGCTTCAACCGACTGAAGATAACGTTGTATAATTATTTCTTCGACATCCGGCGGCTGGTAACGACTACACAGAATTGCATTACGCCAAAGGACTTCCAGAGATAGATTTCGCTCAATCGGCAACTGTTTTGCCATATCACCGGTTGTAATGAAACGATCACGTTCTTCTCTCAGTTGTGCTGCTAAGAGATTTAGGCACATCAGAGCGTTGGGTGCTTTTAATATTTTTACAAACAAATTAAAAATAATGCCACCATCTTTGACTGGGTTCTGTCTTGTTTTTAGTTCAATAATACCTTGACGAACTTGGTGCATAACAGAATCATCTTCTCCGTAGAAATTAAGTTTTAATAATTTCTGTTGTAATTTACATAGTTCAACAAAATTAGAATATGTTTACCGCATGTTGATAATACTATGTTGTGTTTAAGAGAATAAATATTTGAGAATAGTTACATGTACTGATCTTACATAAAATACATTTCTTCTAGCAAAATTTAACAACTTATTATAGTGAGATTAAAGTCTTTTTGTGTAATCTAATGATATTCTATATTCTATAGTGCATGTTTAAGACACATGTCATCACTGTACTGTGAATTTTCCCAGATCTGGAATAGATTTTTTCGTTTAACAAAACGTACTACAATCCAATTGTTCTACTATTAATATGGGAACCGACATCTTTATAAAATAATTCTCTGAATTCTTATCCACATATATATAGTGTTTTCCACTTTTTCCGCATGTTTCTTGACGATGATAAGTGTAACTTATAGAAAGCTCGAAAATATTGTAGACATCGTCTTGGGCTACACGCTGATATATTCGACGTTTCTGCTCGCCTCATGTTGATGGAGAAAAATGAAACTTTTCATTGATTTTACTGTTTCATTGCGAAGCAGTTTTGAGTATGAAGCGCCCCCTTAGATGAATTTTGGAATAGTGCATTTTGTAGAGCGGACTAGCACACAGTTTCTGGAAAAGTTTGACTTCTGTTCACTTTTCTTGTGAAGTACACGACTCAAAATACTGAGCAACAGTAAAATTGATAATAGAATTGATAATAGTAAAGCTTTTCTCATACGATCACTTTTTGTGTTCGACGATAGCTGTCGTGGTCTCACAATGTTTCTGGTGTGTTGGATGACACTAACGACGAAACATATGTAACTGACCAATCGTTTTTTTAATGAAATCTAGTGAAGTTTAGGTAAAAAATGGTGCTGAATCCAAATATCGGCATGAGACGGGCCGCTAGACCTTACGAGTACCGGATTTCTGGGAAACCAGGTTTCCAGAGCCAGAAACTTTTTGTTCCAAAACTTTTTTCTG